CAGAGACCCCTCCAATGAAGGGATATTTTGATTTTTTGTTATAAACAATTTTTTTGTTCACACTCATTTTTTGAGTTGTTGGATTCGTTTCTAAATACATCTCAAACGCTGGTTCTTTGCGTCCTGTTCTTTATAATGTGCGTTTATGAGTGTGTGTTAGCTATGTTTTAATCAGTCATCAGACTTTTCTGAAACTACATGCAACGATTTTACTTATCGTTCTTGAAAAGCCATATTCCAATCGAATGTTGCTTTAATTAGCTGCGTTTACATTAAGATCCGTGAATAATTATTCAGTTCAGAAATGGATCGATAACGAATTCATTTAATGGTAGCATTCATAAGATGAAGTGCAGTTGTTGTTGAAGTATAATTTGGTAGTCTTGCGTACGACTGCCATAGAAGTGTCACTTATTTAGTTATGATTAGTTGTTGAATCGGAATGGAAATGTGATTATTTAAGGAACTGAAACTGATAGGTGAATTTGGATTGAGAAATAAACGTGAAGTATGGCGTGTCAAATACACACTGGCCAAGATTCGTAAAGCTGCTAGGACATTGCTAACGTTGGAGGAAAAGGTTTGTATATGTTCAGTTAACTAATTGCTTTGTGGATGAAATCATCGTCTAAGAAATTTTCAGTGTTTTGTGAATCGGTTTGATTAATGCAATCACTTGAATGAAATTAATCAATTGTTATTATTATAATTCTTTATGCACTTACGATGCAAAGTTGGTTTATATTTTCATTTGCAGTTACGAACATTCGGCTTCATTATCTAGCAGTAATTTTTGTGTGAATTTTTGTGTTTAAAATCATCTTTTGAATCATCAAGGGATGATATATTGTTCAAAGGTTCGATTAGTCGTCTGAACTGAAAACAATTTCGATTGGAATACTAACGTTTTTAACATTGATGACTGCCTACTGTGAGTGAAGATAGACTGTTTATTATTTATGTTTAAAATGTGGCGTTTTAGGATCCAAAACGTTTATTCGAAGGCAACGCATTGCTGCGTCGTTTGGTAAGAATTGGCGTATTAAGTGAAGATCGTATGAAACTGGATTACGTTTTGGGTTTAAGAGTTGAAGATTTCTTAGAGCGTCGTCTTCAGACTCAGGTTTTCAAACTTGGATTGGCCAAATCGATTCATCATGCTCGTGTTTTGATTCGCCAGAAGCATATCAGGTTCGTTCATAATACAATTCACTGAACATGCACTCATGCGATGTCATCATTCATGCGACCAATCAGTCATCGTTTCCCTACTAATTCAGGGTTCGTCGGCAAATCGTGAACGTGCCCTCGTTTATCGTTCGTTTGGATTCGCAAAAGCATATTGATTTCTCACTGAAATCACCGTTCGGTGGTGGTCGTCCAGGACGTGTGAAGAGACGTAACGCAAAGAAGGGATCTGGAGAGGGTGATGGTGGAGATGGTAGTGACGGTGATGAGTGATCGCTAGATTGGTGTTGATTTCATCTGAGTTATTTTTGTTGATGTTGCACTATTACAAATGAAAAGTTATTGTTTTTGTTGTTCCAATTCTATAAATAATGAAATAAGAAGTCATACAAGAAGTGATTGAACGAATGCTGATCACAGAGAAAACTAAAGAATGAAACGACAAGATACGGTTCCTAGATGCACTAGAAGGTGTGAAACACGACAAAGGTATGAAACTCAGTACCAATCATCTGTAAAGTCCAGTGAAAATTTACACAACAGGCAAATATGTATATAGACATAAACTGTAAATTAGTATTCACATAAACGCACGCAGTCATAACACTCGAACAAGAGTTCCATCTTCAACGAAATGATCCGAACGCAGTTGGCACTGTTGCGAAATCGGCATTTCTGCGCTTCTTGCATTGAAGTTCGCAAATTTTCATTTAAATGTTGTGTAAGTAAGAGTCGGTTTCATTGGAAAAAGAGTTCACGTCCGTTGCTGTGTAAATGTTGTGTCGTCGAGAATTAGTTGACGACTGATAGACGAAGAGATGAGACGACGAACCTATCCTTTACTCAGGATCAAGACAAGACACACTAAGACAATGAAATCTCTCACTTATATAGTTTGTTATATGTAAATACCTAACAATAAGAAGACAACACATAAACAAGTAAGCAGATCACGTATACTAATTTGTTCACTATACAACAAAAACGACCAAGGGAGATTGATTTCTTGTTTCTATGTCTTAAGTCAAAGTTGAACAAAAGTAGACATTTATGAATTTATTTGTTCATACTGTTGAAAAACGAGATAGAAGATAAACGAAATCGTGCGGCATTAATCAACGATAATAAATCAATTAATCAGTTATTCGAGGCCAACAAGATCATCGTTGCTTGGTTTTGAGTTGCTCTTTAGCCTGTGCAATGTACGGATCCAAATAACCGAGGTGATATGCCACTCAAGTTCTGATGATTATGGCCAAGAAAAGCAGCAGTGCTGCGCCCATATCTGATTAAGTGGTATCCCAGAGACGAAATTATTATTATTGTTGTTATTGAAATTATTGAAAAAGATTATTATTATTGTCCGGACTGTAAGCGGTCGGTTTGCCGATCGCTCCGGGCAACGGGCAATAGGCCTGCCCGCCTAGCCAACGGGCTGGCGTCATCTGTGGCTAAAACAATGCGAAGAACAACCCTGGCCATATGTACCTACAACTGCAGGTCATTGGCAGGGTGGACGGGTTCGAACCATCTGATGGAGGAGAAAAAAGAAATAAAATGCGATTAGGGCTCTGCGAGACACGATGGAAAATCGAAATAAATGCGAGATGGAGAGATGGATGCGCTATCAGACTCGGAAAAGATGAAGGCACAAGAACTATTGGAGGCATAGGTTTCATCATCGGGAAGGAATGGGCTGGAAGAATAATATCATGCAAGATTTTATCAGCTCGAATAGGTGTACTGAACGTTCAATTGACAGAAAAAGCCACCCTCAAAGTCATCCAAACATACGCCCCAACAATTGCAAGTGACGACGATGAAATTGAAGAATTCTATAATGAACTAGAAAAGGCTCTAGTTCAAAAATCCACTTATACCGTCGTCATGGGCGATTTCAATGCAAAGGTTGGGAGAGGGCGGCAAGGAGAGAAATACGTCGGGAAATTCGGAATAAAGGGAAGAAACGACAGAGGCGAACGTTTAGTAACCTTTGCTGAAACAAATCGGTTTTATATCGGAAACAGCCTGTTCAGGAAAAAGAAGGATAAAAGGTGGACCTGGATCGCTCCGAATGCTGAGCACAAGAACGAGATTGATTACATCATGATCGACAGGAGACGATTACTCCAAGATGTTTCAGTGATTGCACCCTTCAACACTGGCAGCGACCATCGTTTACTACGGGCAAGAATTGTCGTTGACAATGCAAGAGAGAAAAAAGCACTGCACATCTTAGTAACCTTTGCTGAAACAAATCGGTTTTATATCGGAAACAGCCTGTTCAGGAAAAAGACGGATAACAGGTGGACCTGGATCGCTCCGAACGCTGAGCATAAGAACGAGATTGATTACATCATGATCGACAGGAGGCGACTGCTCCAAGATGTCTCAGTGATTGCACCTTTCAACACTGGTAGCGACCATCGTTTACTACGAGCAAGAATTGACGTTGACAATGCAAGAGAGAAGAAAACACTGCACGTCTCGTTAAAGAAATCAACGCAGAAAAGCCCTCAACGAAGCAATGTTACAGAATGGAACCAGCTAGGAGACATTGACGAAGACTATAACTCGCTAATTGACAAACTAAAGGGTTGCTTAAGCAAGGCTTCGACTGATAACCAGCGTGATCACCAAGGTAGAATCTCCGAAAAAACGAAAGGCATGATGAGAAGAAGAAAAAATTTAAAAAGAAATGGCAGCAGTCTTATCGAATAATCAATCTTGTGCAAAGCTATACGGCAGCACTTGAAAGAGGATTTCTTAAAATATCAAATGAATAAATTAAAAGAAGCTGCAGAAGGAAGGAAAAGCCAGGATGGGCGGACAGTGAGAAATAAAAGTGAAGTGGAAGAAGTGTGCAAAACCTTCTACGCGGATCTTTTTAAATCATCAATTCCACTCATTCCCCCTTCACCTCAACAAATAGAAGAGGTGCCACCAATTCTGAAATGCGAGATCGAAAATGCTCT